GCCTTGAAGTGTTTCAATGAAACCTTTTAAACCGCCCTACATGCAATACGTGTACGACCCGGCAAAGAAGGATGAACCCTTCCTAGTTCTCGACGAAAGGACAAGTGTACAAGGTCATGACACATGGAGTGAGCTGATCACCCACTCCGACATATGACTCACCTTGTGACGATTCTTGAATCGATCAAGGCGAATACCGCACTGTATCCGAATTCCTCAAGGAGACAAGGGCATGTGTACTCTATTTGGCCTCGTGGTCACACTCCCGGCTTCACGTCTTAATCCGTTGATTCTCACCGAAACAACTTGTGATGCATTGGACTTCGGTCGCATGCGGCCATCACTGGTGCCCGTCGCAACATTATTACAAGTCCACTACCACGCACGACCATCCCCCGCCCCACCTCTACTCCACCAGTTCGCCTTCAAGCTGCCACACTGGCCCTTCCCCATGGTTTTGACACTACCCCCCGGCATTGAACTTTGAGGCCTTCTTGGGAACTCTTCTCGAAAAGTCACCAGCAGGAGAACGGTGTTAATCTCCTACAGTAGCTACCCGTATAAATCCCCCGTGCCCTCACTTTCAATCCTAATACTGGACCTCCCACTATTATTCGCAAACCATTCCCAGTTCCAATGCAACCAAATACGTCATCTCCCGTTCCACCTGTTCAACGAACCACGACGAGCCAAAGTTCACCTGCGAATAGTCAGAATGAATGACACTCCACATGGTTATGAAGAAAGCTGCCGAACTTGCTACGATCCTATAACCGAATACCACAAGTACCGAAGAAGAGCAGGAAACAGAGAAAGAAGAAGACACACAAGCTCCCACTGGAAGCGAACCAACCCTCCACTTAACACATACTATCAACACAAAACTTTTACAACCATCACATATACCACGTTGACGTTCAGAAATTGCCAAACCTAACACCCTAAATATAACCACATGATTCATTCGATTCTATTCACCATAATCCTGTATTAGTAAACGAGTCAAACTAGTACTGGAAACGGAGACGACCCAGAGGGCATATGAATGATGCATCAATTGGAACAACGCAACAACGCAACTTGAACCAAAAACCCAGAAAGGAAAAAGCACAGCTCTCGTGCGTGGATCATGCAGTCTCCCCAAGATGACGCCAAAGACTACGTGTGAGCACTCCTTGATGGATCAGAAGGAGATCTGGGTTGACAATATCTTCCCTTTCCTTGGAATGGGGCACTTTGCCTTTGTGGCTGGTGTAAATAAAAAGTTTCGTGACTTTTACAAGGCATTTTGTGATTCCGTGGAAGGTCCTCCCAACGTTTACCGTCGAATTAACCATGTATACACCTCTGCAACATTCTCCGATACCTTCTACAGTGTTGCTCTTTCCAGCGTGCCGTGTGCTGAGTATTGGTATGCCGCCACGGAGGGATCAGGGCGACCAACCGCTCTGGTGTGTTCCGAAGCCGCCAAAGTTGGGAGCATTCTCGTTATTCGATGGGCCCGAGAAAAGGGATTCCCCATGTATGCAAGCGCTTGCAGTTGTGCTGCCAGCAATGGGCATTTGCAAGTCCTGCGGTGGCTTCGTGAAACTGGTTGTCAGTGGAATGTTAGGACGTCCCATTGTGCAGCCGAAATTGGTCATTTGCCAATACTCAAGTATCTTCGGGCAGCGGACTGCCCATGGGATGAAAGAACGTGTAGCATGGCTGCATATGGTGGCCATTTGGATGTGCTTATATGGCTTCATGACAGTGGTTGTCCATGGGATGCACAGACCTGCAGTAAGGCCAGTGCAAATGGTCATTTGAATTTGCTGATGTGGGCTAGAAAGAATGGATGCCCATGGGACCATGGGACTTGTCATGACGCTGCCAAAAATGGCCACCTTGACTGCCTCCAATTTGCCCATGAAAATGGTTGCGCATGGATGGAATCCACATGCCAGAGTGCTGCAGAGAAAGGCCATTTAGATTGCCTGAAATATGCTCATCAAAATGGCTGTCCTTGGGATGGGTCAGCTTGCACTGTTGCTGCCAGAAACGGTCATCTGGAGTGCCTGAAGTATGCACATGAAAACGACTGTCCATGGGGAATTTATGCTTGCATAGGAGCTGCCAGGAGAGGCCATTTGGCAGTGCTAAAATATGCCCATGAACAAGGGTGTCCTTGGAATGAATCTGTATGCTCTGCTGCCGCAGAAGAAGGCCACTTGAATTGCCTCAAATATGCCCATGAAAATGGCTGTCCATGGGATGGGAGAACATGTTCCTCGGCTGCAAAGGGAGGCCATTTGAAAGAACTACAATATGCTCATGAACATGGTTGTCCTTGGGATGATTTAACTTGCTTAATGGCATTATCGAAAGTCAATTTTGAGTGCCTAAAGTTTGCTCATGAAAACGGTTGTCCATTGGATCCAGTTCTTTTTGTCTGTTCTGCCGAACGAGGTGATCTGAAAACCTTGCAGTGGCTCTTCGCAAACGGCTGCCCATGGGATGGAGTAGTAGCAGAAGTAGTACGCAATGTTTCTGAACAGTATGGACACGATGAGATACTGGAATGGTGTGACGGTGATGACAACGACAATGAGGGATCTACTTTGACGGCGGACCTACAAGAGATTGACTGAGCATTCCCAAATTTTGCACGTCCAACCTGCCAACCGGTTCGATACAGCTGTACTGTCCCGGGAGACTGCTGTCAAGTGCTGTGGAGATACAGAAAAATGCAAGAAAATCTAGCTAGCTTGATAGTAGTCTGGTTTTTGTAAGCATGATTGCTAGTAGCTGTTTACGGTGAACCGACTATGGAGCTATTCCTAACGAGTCTAAAGATGCGGTGACAAGCCCCACAATGGGAATCATGGATGTAGCGTAGATGGAAAACAAGAACTTTGCCATTTGACTGGCCTCTTCGCTTTTCCCTGCCACCTGGAGCAAGACAACCGAGTTTTGTGCCGGTGGCATGATGCTTTGCAGCAAGCAGACAAACCACAGCATGGGTTCTTCCTGTGGCGACCCAATCAGGTGCACGGCGAACAATGCCTTGAGTATTCCCAGCATGACCAGGGGGGAGACGAGAAACCGTGCCACGGAGACACAGGCCCATTTTTGGAAGAATGCTGCTCTGGATGTTGTTGTTCCGTTCTCTAGCTTTTTCCCGGCACCAAATGCCAAGGAACATGTCAACACCAAGACTGCCAGAGGACTGGCGGCTTTTCCCAAGTTTTGAAAGCTATTGTAGACAACAGCAAGAGGTGCTTTTGTTTCCGCATCGAGACTTAGCAAGAGCGGACTCAACGGAGTGAGTCCAAGTAGCAGTCCTACCACCACTCCCATGACAGGAGGTGGAAAGAAGACTTTACTCTCTTGCAGGATTCTTTGCAGCAAATTGTCGTTTTGATTGGAATCCTGCTTTTTGGAAATCTGCAGCACCTTGGGAACAAAGGACCAGAAAAAGGGTGACCAGCCCACACTGAAAAAGGACACTTGAGAATAGGCTCGCTGTAATAAGGATGCGTTATCTCGAAACATGGATTCCGCAAAGACAAATGGCAAGACTCCCGCATTTCCAAAACAGCACGTGACCGACAGTACTTTTCCCTCATCCGAGTCTGGATCCAATCCAAAGAGAGGAATCAAAATATGCTTTGCCAATAGGAACAAGAGTGCCGATTGTGCCACGGCCACCAAGGGCACACAGAGCGATGATCGGGACAACTTGCCTCCTTGACTGGATACGGTTTTCAAAATATTGGTGCCAATGAAACAGGGCAGCAGAATGGTGTAAATGGCGCGGCTGAGTGCTCGGACCATTTCTTGCGTAATGAGCTTTTGGGTGACACAACCGGCACCGATGACACCCGAAACACACAATTCCCCCATGGCCTTGCCAGCCGCGGCACCAGCGGGGCTCTGCAGCATTTTGACCAATGCCGTTGAAGTAGTAGTAGTGGATGTCATGATAAATAGATGCTACTATTTAAAAGTAATAGCTACCGGTACAGGTGGCTAGGGTGGATTGTCTCTCAGTGATACCGACCATCGGCATCATCATTGTGGGTGTTCCGATCTATCTTCCCCTCGAGGGTGCATGCATCGCCTGATGGCCACTTCGGAAGGATGGGGTTTTCTTGCTATGACGTCAGCAATTACAATAGAGTTAGAACTATCTCGGTTGGTACTCACCGTCTTCTAAAATGGTTGCTTCCACCTGGAACTTCTTAGAGACAACGGCTAAGAAGGAACCACGTGTTAGTCATTGTTTCGCTTACCATCATCATCATCGTTTGGACTGGACTGGTGCGTGCAACATTCTCAGAGCAAGAGAGAGCTCCATCGAAGGCAAGGCAAGCACTGCTACCGGTTACAATATCGATAGTTTGTTGAAACCAACAACTTTGACTGGTCATTGCATTCTGTATTTCATTTCATTGCTAGCTAGCTAGGTAGCCAGAAACTACACTACAAATTAAATACAATACAGGATCGACCATGAGACTCTTTTCGAGAGCCCTATTGTTGGCTCTGCCCGCCTTGGTGTCCTCCAAGGCAATTTTGGGTGTGGACATGGGAAGTTTGTACATGAAGGTGGCTTTGGTGCAACGAGGAGCTCCACTGGAGATTGTCACCAACTTTCACTCCAAGCGAAAAACGGAAAACATGATTCTGTTTGATGCGGGCACAAGATTTTATGGCGCTGATGCGTCCTCGCTTCTCGCGAGAAAGCCTCTCAAGACACCTGTGCAAATGTCGCTCATGCTGGGACGAGATGAAGACCATCCTTGTGTAGCTGTAAGTCAAATCCAAAAAACAAAACAAAAAATTGGCGCGTGGAGTGTCGGCGAAACTCCTGGATTGGTGGGGATAGATCAAAATGACATTTACAAACCACAGCGAAAAACATCGCAGTCGTTCTATTTCTCATGGTTTCTTTGTTTGTTTTCTGTTCTTACTTATACAATATTGATTGATTGCAGACACTTGGAGAACGTCATTTCCCAGTCACTCCCAAATTCAATGAAACTCGCAATGGACTCAGTTTGTCCGTAGACAATCAAGATTACACCCCGGAAGAACTAGTCGCCATGGTCCTCCATCACTCCAAAGACATGGCACAGACGTATATTGGAGAACTAGGAAAGGACGCCAAAGCAGCCCCTGCCGATTGTGTCTTGACCGTACCGGCTTTCTTCACCGTTCACGAACGAAGAGCCCTCTTGGATGCGGCCAGTTTGGCCGATCTCAACGTCTTGGGACTACTCGAGGAAAACACAGCTGCCGCATTGCACTATGCCATGGACAAACAATTCCCAGAAGATCAAATCTTTGTCTTTTACAACATGGGAGGAACTGCCGTACAGGTTAGTGTCGTCAAATTGCACAACTACAACATGACCAGTGGACTCTCCTCCAAACCAAAAACCGTAGGCGCACTCGAAGTGCTATCCAAAGCGTGGGATGCCACTCTGGGAGGACAATCCTTTGATCACCGCATTGTAGAATACTTGGCCGATGAATTCAATGCAAAGTGGGATAAACAACGCAATGATGGTAAAAAGAAGGATGTGAGGACCGTTCCACGGGCCATGACCAAGATTCGGCTCCAAGCCAACAAGGTCAAACATGTACTCTCGGCCAACATGGAAATTCCCATCTTTATGGATTCACTCCATGATGATTGCGCACTCTCCACACTCATGACACGTGCAAAGCTGGAGGAACTTTGTGTCGATCTCATTGAACGAGCCACCAAACCGGTCTACCAGGCTTTGGAATACGCTAACATTACACTATCGGATGTCCATGGAATTGAAATGATTGGAGGTGGGATGCGTATCCCTCGAATCCAAACGGACTTGAAGAAGGCACTCAACGACATTGAATTGGGAATGCACATTAATGCGGATGAATCCATGGCTTTGGGTGCTGCCTTTCACGGTGCCAACCTTTCCACCGCGTTCCGGGTACGACATGTCGGTCTGCTCGATGTCAATCCATTCCCCATCAGAATCACGCTCAAGGAATTGGAAACAGAGGAACAGAAAAAGGGATTGTTTGGAGGCGGCGGCAAGAAGAAAAAAGATGATGGTGAGGAAGTATGGGGCAAAAATGCAACCATCCTCAAGGCATTTGGAAAACTCGGCGTCAAAAAGACCATTGCGTTCACCCACGACAAGGATATTCACTGTGCTTTGGACTATGAAGAAGCTGAGACTTTGCCAGAGGGAACACCGTAAGTGGATTTGTTTGTGCGATGCCCGTGTTGCTCAGTTCTTTGCTGCTGGCTCTTCGCTCACACGGGTTCTTTGCTGTTTTGTGTAATTTGCATTATCCGACTAGACTTGGCATTGATCGTTTCAACATTACTGGTGTGGAAGATTTTGCCAAAGAAATGGAGGAGAAGAATCTTGGCAAACCAAAGGTCGCTTTGCAGTTCCAGCTCACTGATAGCGGTTTGACCAAACTCCTCAAGGCGGAAGCCACCGTCGAAGAAATGTACACCGTGGAGGAAGAAGTAGAAGTAGATGATGACGAAGCTGACGATGAAGCAAGCAACGCAACAAACACCAAGGAAGAGGAAGCTGATGCAGATGCCAAAACAGAGGATGCCGAGGACAAGAAAGAAGAAGAGGCCACAGCTGATGAAGTCAACGCAACAGAAGCCAACGAAACGGATACTGATGCCAATGCCACCTCGGAGAAAGCTGACGAAAAACCTGTCAAGAAGAAGAAGAAGAAAACTATCACTCAAACAAAGGTGAGTACCGTGATCATTTAGAGTTGTCGTCAAGTGATATCTATGTATGTCATTCAGCTGATTGATTAGGTGTTTGGACTTCGCCCTCCAAATCCTGCATTTGTAATTCCAAAGGAGAAGAAACGGGTACACAAACGTGCATTGACTGTGAAGACTTACAACGTTGGAAAGGTGCAACCCTATTCGGCTGAGCTTCTGGCAGAATCCAAGGCCAAGCTGCAGGCTTTGGCCAAGAAAGACAAGGAACGGGTTTTGCTGGAAGAAGCTAAAAACAAGGTTGAAAGCTACGTCTACCACATCAAGAACAAGCTCGTAGATGATGAGGAAAACATTGGCAAAGTATCAACCGAAGAACAACGAGCGGAAGTCCTTAAGCTCGCGGAAGATGCGGAAGAATGGATGTACGAGGATGGATCCACCGCCGATCTGGCAACTACTGAGGATAAGTATGCTGAGATCTCTGTCCCCGCCGAGAAGATTTTCAACCGTGTCAAGGAAATGACAGCCCGTCCAGAAGCCGTCGTGGCTATGAAAGGCCGACTGACCAAGGTTGGGGAGCTGATGACAAAATGGGAGACGACAATGCCACAGGTAACCGAAGAGGAACGTGGAGAAGTGCTCAAGTTGGTCGACGATGTGACCGCCTGGATCAAAGAGAAAGAAGAGGCTCAATCAAAGGTCGAAGCTCATGAAGACCCTGCCTTCACAAGTGCAGAGGTTCCTATTCAAATCAAACCTATTGAAGTCCTGGTAGCAAAGCTGAAGAGGAAGCCCAAGCCGAAACCTCCTAAGAAGAATGAAACTGATGCAAATGCAACAGACACTAACTCGACAAATGCCACAGATGCTGAAGAAACAAATTCCACGGAAGCAAAGGATGCTGATTCGGAAAATGAGACAGCCGATGAACCAGCTGAAGGCGAAGCAAAAGAGGATGGTGAGAAGGAAGAAGCCGAAGCAGACCCGGAAGAGGGAGAAAGCAAGAAGGACGACGAACTATAGTTTAAGATATTCCATTATGCGTTTTTGCTTCTTGGTTTGTGGCTCGTTGTACTCCACCGACCACTTAACCCATACATACGATGTTCTCGCCGTTGTTGGTGGCCAGGTACACTGTGTATGGCTGCATGAGTTGGACTTGATCCGGGCTCAGGCAATCGTGTTGCCAAGCTCAGCCATGTTGGCAACTGATCATGCAACAAGGGATTGTCCAAGAGCCCCAGAACTCAACGAGACACTTTTCGTTGGGGAATGTTGCGTATGTACTGTACATGGAGGGTACCGGTATCTTACTTTGCGCCTTAATTTCTAGTCCTATGTTTGCGTTTGGGGCTGATGACGTTGAGAGAAGACGATTGCAAGCAAGACGACGATTCCAACCACAAAACAGCAACAGCGGCAACGGCTAGATTCCTGTTCTGAAACCAGTCAACGAGTTTGACTTGCTGCGCTTCCACAAGTTCAGGTACATGGTTTGGTTCCTCTCTGCCGCCCACGATATGGTTATCACGACGGAAGCTTTCGTTCACCAAGACTGCCTCGACTAAAGGAGTTCCTGCGGGCATCCCATAGTTGTTCATGTCATTGTCTCGATCGTCGGGAGACTCCACATCAGGCAGAGGATGGTTTGATTGAGCTTCATCACGTTCGCTTTGAATACAATGTTCTGATCCACTGCTGTCCGAACAAGAGACGACAAGGGATTCTGCGGTTTCTTTGCTGGGGGCATTCTCAGAAGGCTGCGATTCCGGCCGCCTGTTTGAAAGACCATACTTGTTCCGGGGAATAGACGAGATCCTTCCTTCCTGAAGTGGTAGATTGTGATGTTGGTGCCGAGTAATCGTTGATTGGGTTGCTTTTCTTTGGGTCCAGCTCTGCGAAGTCCGTAAATGCCCGGGGTACATGAAAGGCCCAGCTGAGATGGACGTTTTCCCTTTCTGAGGCCTCTCTTCACCTTCTGATCCCCCACGGGGTAACCTGCCGCCAGCAACATGCTTGGTCCCATTGTCGGTTCCGGCAACAATCGTCGCACAGCCCCAGAATCAAACCCTTCAGTCTCTGCTGCCTATTGTGCATTCGCAGTATGGAGCTCGTTGCAATGGCTCCGTCTTCAACAAAAACTTGCAAATGGCAAAATAGTCACTCTGCGTTCAATGGATACCAATGCCATCTTCCAATATCACTTTGTCAGATTTCATGATTGCACCACTGTGGCTGAGAATGTACCCGGCACATGGGAAGATCTCCATGAAAGCTGAAGCGAGTCATCGGGGTAATGATCCTCCAGACCAGGGCCCCAGGTGGACCAGATTTTAAGATTTGGAGCAATCGACTGGGCAACCCTTTGCCTAGAAAGCCATATTGTCGGGGCCGTCACTTCTACTAGCGCATCGCACTCTAGCTTAACATGGAGCACAGTCACAACCACAAAGGGATGTTCCTTGGCAGCCTGTCGTGTTGCCTTTCACTTGGGTTGGCAAGCAAGGTGTCTGCCCAAAGCATTTAACTTGTATCTGGAATAGTTTGCCACACAGAACATCAGGTACTCTTCCAAGTAGGAATGTGTTTGTGACTACCAAACTGGTCAAGTTCTTCAACTCGAGCAGCTCTGAGGGAATTGTTCCCGATAGGTTGGTGTTCTCGAGGTGTAGCTGCTTTAGGCTGGACATGAACCCAATTTCTGTTGGGATCAAACCGACGAAGTCGTTGTCATTGATCAGCAAGTATTGCAACTGTGTGAGCGTAGAAAATAGATCAGGTGGCAGCGTTCCCACCAACCTGTTAGAAGAAATGTCCAGCCTCTGAAGGCCTTCAAGATGAACCAACAGTTTCACACCATTGAGTTCAAGAGGCAAGGGAAGTGAAGCAAATTATTTTCTACTCACTCGTAATTTTGGAAAATACTCGTGGCAGATTGCCAACGATGGAGTTCCCCGGCAGCGCCAGACTGGTCTACGACGGTTTGGACAGCCTCGTGAATACAGGTTTGCAAGACAACAAACATGTCAGTATGTCGGAAGTGTTGGTACTTACCAATTGTAACAGGCAACCAAACTCACTGGGAATTGTACCATGTAACTTCAAATCAATCAAAGATAGCATCGTCAGCGTAGTTAGCAAACCAAGCTCCGCTAGTTGAGATTCCAAATCAGCCAAGTGTGTGAGTCATTCAAGCTTCCGCAGGAACCCTCTTCCGAGAAAAGACTTACACGGGATAGGTTGCTCCGCTTCAACAGGTCCGTTTTGTAAGGAGAGCAATTTCAACTTTGGCATACGACTAGCAGCAATACCTTGGAGCATGGTTTCAGTGTTCAGTTTAGGAGAAGCTTGAACGGCGAGCACCTCCAGCTTTGTGAATTGATAGATCTCATTAGGGAGGTACCCTGCTATGGTGGAGAAGCACAAACATGGGCTGTCTCCACAGTACACACAAAACCACAGGAAATCACTGGTGAGTAAACTTACCTGACAAATTCGCTTCCGCCACCACGAAAAGTTGCAGGTATTCTAATTTCCCAAGCTCAGTGGGGAGACAGCCATGAAATTGGTTGGTAACAATCGAAAACTTGCTTAGATGTCGGAGAAGACCAAGCTCTGTCGGAAGTGCCCCAGAGATTCCTGTAACACCCAAATTCAAGTTTGTCAGCCTTGTCAGCAGTCCAACTTCATTTGTCGGTAGAGATCCTTTGAGTTGCAATTGTCTTGTAAGGACAACTGACTCTAAACTTTTCCCCAGCAAACCAACTTCTGGAGGTATTGTCCCTTCCAACTTATTGGCCCACTGAAATATCAATGCTCTGATTTCCCCCTTGTCATTGCAGGGAGGGTCTAGAGTGACCCTCTGTGATTTGACTTGAGTTTGTTCCCATTCACACTCATTGATTTCCCAGTCCAACCATCCATTGTTGTGCACCCAATGCTCCCCCCTTGTGGAATAGTAAAATATTGCCAGCGCAAATCTCTGTATGAGTCTCCATTTCGGTAGTTTCTGGAGAGTGGAACTTTTATTGTTCATGTTTTTGATCAACCATTGATAAGCTTTGGATTGAGGAGATCGTGAGCGTTCCATTGCCAAAAGGGTGCTATCTGGGAGATCATCCAAAACATTGGTTTGATTCTGGCTTCCTAGCACACCTGCCTCTGCAGTTGTGATGGTAGGAATTGGAATTGACACATTTGCATTTGAAAGAGCCGATTGATTGTCTGTGCTGTCGTTGCTTCCTCGTTGGACAATCACGCCAAACACGAGGAGGAAAATCAGCACCACGGCCGATACCAAGTTCATCTCCAGTGAAAGGGCAAGAACCGTCTTTTGCCTCAAGGATTGTCTTGATCTCCGGCCGGTGGATGAGGGCAGTGGATTGTCTATCAAGTCAGCGACTTCGTCTTCATATTCATCATTTGCTCCCATTTCACGAGTCACTACGGCATTCATGACCTGTGTAACTACATCATCCATGGCTGGAATTGGTGCTTCTGCGTCGTGGTCTTCCTGACGGATCAAGAGTCCATCCACAGCAAAGGTCCCAGAGTTCAAGGTGTTTCCCGTCCTTTGTGGTACCAGTTCTTCCACCCGAGGACTTTCCTGTGGCGTTTGTGGATTCGCTACGGGTAGGGTAGTCGTGTCGTCAGGTAGTTCGGTAATTTCGTTACTATTCATGGCAATCATCTCCACATCGGAGGATCTTGCTCGGACCAAACACACACCTGCTTCATTTTCAGGCATTGTTGTTGGTTGCTACAGATCTTCATGAGGGAAAGCAACAGATGCAGCAATCCCTTGCTGGAAGCTCTGAGTTCCAATATGGAAGTGTTTTCTCGTCAAGCACCAAAAAGAGGCGATTTGGGTATTTGAGTGAGTCGAGTCGAGTTTTAGTCGAGTGACGAGTCACGTACCGTGACAAAGCTTAAGCCTTGATGTACCGTACAGACCGTACCGTACAGTACCGGAACCAGGTACGGTATGGTACGACGGTACGACTGTACCGGTACCAGGTGCGGTACGGTACCAGTACCGTTTCGATTTGGGACGAACTAAACCTTGGGGTAATGTCCTCCAAATGGAAGAAAAAGCTCAAATTTTAATGGTTCAGAAAATGTAAAATGAAGCAAAGAGACAAGCAGGACTCCACAAGGCCTGTTGAAATTGAATAATCTGAATCTGAATTCTCAGAGCCTCTTAGAGCCTAAATTCGGCTCTTAGAATTAAGATTGGAAAATTGAAAACTCAGATCCCAATGTAAATTAGCTAGATATTCAATCTGGTTTTTCAGATCTGAATTCTAAGAGCCTGTTGTAATTTTAAGAGCCTAATTAGGCTCTTAAAATTCAGATTCAGATTGGTCAACTTAAATATGCTCTTCCAAATAAGGACAAGGGAATCCACTTTTGAAGAAACTGTTTTGGAAACAGGGAGAAAAGACTCAATTTGAGTGGATTACCTCAAGGTGCTGGAAACCGATTTGACCGCCTAGGACGCCTCAACCATCTCGGTCCCCGAGGTTCCCCAAGCAATCGGAAACTCTCTTAAGTACCCTTTCACGCCAGGTGAGTTTTTTTAACGTGTACCAGTGAATCTCCAAGATTCATTACCGTGCTTCAACATTCCAACCAGTGAAGAGCTAAACCGAAAAGACCTCATCAAAGTAAGTCTCACAACCCAGGTGTTACGACGCACTCAAACACCGCTACCCCAAAGATATTTCTGCATTGCCTCGATGTCAATAACATGGCGGCACAACAAGAAGATCCTCAAGACCTGACCCTCACTGTCATCATAGAATTGGAAGATAGAGAAGCCCTTGAAGACATCGGAGATACGAAAGGCAACAGCAATAAAACTCCCGCCGCCTTCAAACATTTCAACAATTTCCTAGCCATCTACTGTGAAGAGAAAGAAGCTCCTGTTGTGGCAGCAGGTGACATTCCCTATCACGGCCTTGGCGATATTGCAGACTATTAAAAATGGTGGGATGATCTCTTCGGGAAGTTCTTCAAATATGTTACCTTCAAGGCCCACCAGTACAAGGACAAATCCCTCGTTTCGTACGAGACAGCGACTGGGTATGGAAGTGCCATGAAGTCCTTCTTTGAGACGAGATTCCGCGTCAAACGCTTGCTTACTGTTTTCACAACAAGTTGGAGGAAGCTTCGCAACACGCACACATCACTTTACAATGACAGCCATAAGCGAACGGGTGAATGTTCTGTGAGACCACGAACCGCCTCCTCAGATGATAATAGGAAAGCCATGGCCAACGCATGCTTCTGGCTTGCAACCGCCCAATCTGCTAAATTCCACGGTCTCAATGTTTTCTTGTACCATCTCTTTGGCAGAGGACGAGAGACCTCGACATTGAAACCAGAGGACCTCAGCACTATCGACACCCTCGACAATTTCCAATAAGTTTCTAGAAGGTTCAGTTCCAGTACTCAAGTAGTGGACTGAGTCTCGCTGAAACCCTTCCTCAGGGACAGCGGTAGTCAGGCAGTTCAGGGAGCCTTGTCGTGCCTCAGGAGTGTTCCACACCTCCAGTAGGCACCCAAACCAAGGACTTGGCCCTGTCAGTCAGACAGGAGGGCCAGCAGAGCTCTCTGCTGGGCCCTTTTGGGCCAGCTCACCTCAGGAGCTGGGGGCCTTCGTTATTCAATCGTGCAGTGGCAGTCTGGGAACAGTACTATCTGCTACCTCCTACTGCTTCTGCCCGGCCTCAACAGGATGGGTATCAACTGCTGCGGTATCAAAGGGGCTACAAGCTAATCAGGATCGGTCTCAATCTTTCGTACTATTTTCTTAACTATGGTAGAAAGGACGATCCTTTCTTGCTGCTTTGGCTGGAGATAAGCCAGCTGTGGGTGCTGGAGCTATAGGCCAGCATAGCTGTTGGAGCTATCTCTGACGGAATCCAGAGCTCTCGCTCCTAGACTTTATCGCTCCCCACGAGTGTGAATGGATCCGCTCTCATGGGTCTGCCACGATATACGATTAGTTACTAACTAACTATCTACAAACTCTCCCCATGAACGAAACATTCATGGGCCACTCAGCATCGACTGCTAGTGGGACACAATGTGAGATTGGAGATCTCACAAGTGGAGGGACTTGCATGGTTGGTCGGTTGCTGGACCAAAAGGTAGGCGCAAATGGATTGCGTGCTTCATCAGCATGCCAACTCGGTAGGTGTCGGCGGTGCTGGTTGCTATCATAGCTGTTGTTTGTTTTCTTCATATGTAGACAAATATTCGTGGCTTTGCCACAGGCCGAATTCAGCGGTGGCAAGCTCTCAGTGGAGCGGCCTTCTTGCCCCGCAATCATGTCCTTGACGGATGGGTTGGATGGGCTGTACCAGAAGGGACGTAGTCTAGTTGCCCGTCCGAAAATCCAGGGACGGTCTAGCAGCACAGACTGGAGGGCTCAATCCTATGGGCCATCATGAAAGCAAACACATGATGGAACACATGCCAAACACTGGGAACTCCCCATTGCCTTGGAGGCAGAGGAACTGAGACCTTGGTGGCTGGGACCTTGGGTCATCCTGTGGTTGGGCTTCATAGCTGCTGTCAACCATTGGTGGTGGTTCCGACTGGATGGCATTGCTGCCAAAGGGATCCTCTCATTCGGCACAAGCCTAGTGGCACTGGGAGTACCAAAGAGAGGTGGTCCGGGATGGACAAGCTGGGAATCCTTGGTGTCGTTCGACACGGTGGACACCTGGATCTCAAGCCAAGGTTGGTGTTGCACGACCTGCCCTGGAACTGTTTGCTTGAAAGCATCTGCCTTGGGCGTGCACTTGCTTGCAAAGGGATCCTCTCATTTGGCATAGCCTGGTGGCACTGGGAGCACCAAAGGAGGAGGCTCTGCTAGAGCCGAGTTGGTTGCCTTCGCCTTGATGGGCAAACTGTGAGGCATCCAACATGGGCTGGTTGTCGTCTGCTGACCAAAGGACGTGCGGTCTGATTGGAAGGGACAACCGTGTATCTTTACAGGCGGGACTTCCTGGATGGTGGATCGTCCTGCTAAAATCACTGTTGCTGTGGGCTACAGTACTGCCTCCCCATAAGCCAATTTAGAAGCTGGGTGACTGCGGAGCTGGAGGTAGGCAGCTCTATAATCTCCCCATCACCCAGTGATGCATGGGAGCACCAGCTAGGGCAAATGGTTGCACTGGAGCAACCAAGGGAGTGGCATGGGGCAGCTGGTTGTTCGCCGCTGTAACTCGCAAAGGACGAGTGGCTGGCGGCTCTTCACAAGCTGGCTGTGGCTGTTAGTTGGTGGTGGCACCGTTCAAAGAGGAAGTGACAGGTAGCTTTCCACAGCAGTCTGGCTTGGGGGCTGGATGCTGGGAGTTCTAAGGACTGCCGCCAATACCGGTAGGTGGCGCTGTGGCTACATTGCTGTTGTTGTTGAAAGCAAAGAGGGCCTCTGCCAGTCGCCGCTGCGTGGACTTGACACTAGTGGCAGGCAACTCACCAGAATCGTGCTTGGGAGATGTGTGGTACCGGTTGTGGCTCCTAGTCCTGGAGGCGGCTGCTTTCTGCTTGAGTGCAGCTGCTTTTCCGTTGATGTTCTCGAGGTTTCGACTAATGGACTTGTCAATCAGCTGACGAATGTACCACTGTCGCTCTTCAATGATCCCATCAAGGGTAGTGCCAAGTGCTTGGATAGAGTCGTGCTGCTCATCCAGACTCTTCATGATGGCCTGAACCGTATCCTCCCGGGTTGTAGGGGAAGGATGGCTAGTTGTTCTTCGGCTAGCCTGTTTTCCTTGGTTCTCTAGCCTTTGAGGCCTTCCGTGATGGTGGAGGAGTCACTGTGGGTATGTAGAGTGACATGGTCGCTTTCTTGCTGCCAAGGAAGAGGTGTATAGGCTGTACTTGGTGGTAACACTGGATCTCAGCTCTTGTTGAAGTGCAATAAATGCTGGCTCAACTGTAATCTGGAATCCACAAAGATGACCTCCAGGAACCTTGCTATGGGCCTGGAAATTCAATCTAGGTGTAGTTGAATAAGGTAGCCAGTGTAGAGGGTCTGGAGCCTGCTTCCTGTGTTGCCGTGGTGCTGGTAACTGCCTTGGTTTTTGGTGATTTTGCCTCACTGGAAGGTAGCTTACTGGGATCAATGTATCTCCCCACAAAAGCTTTCAAAATTCAAGGTAGCTCCCACTGACTAACCAAAGGATGGCGGATGCAATGGTAACAATATCAGCCAAGCGAATTGACCTCTTAGTCGTCTCGTGAGTCCTCGGGTTACTCGATCTCTTCGTGCTCCGTGTTGGTTGATCGCTCCGCGGAAGATCGCGATTTTCAATGACTCGACGGTGTAAACACCTTAAATTGTGAGGGCAGCCAGCTTACGTGAGAATGAGCCTGCTTTCGGT